AAGCAGAGGTTGCAGTGAACTGGCATTGTGCCACTGCACTCCAGCCTGGGTGAGAGTGAGACTCCGTCTCAGAAAAAAAAAAAAAAAGTAAAATAGCAAGCAAGAGACTGAGAAATTATTCACAACAGTATCTGAGAAAGGACTCATACCCAGACGTAGAACAGGCTGGGCATAGTGGCTCAGCCACCTGTAACCCTGGCACTCTGGGAGGTAGAGACAGGTGGATTACTTGAGACCAGGAGTTCGAGACCAGCCTGGGCAACAGAGCAAGACCCAATCTTCACAATTTTTTTTTTTTTAAATTAGCAGAGCATAGTGGTGGCATGCCTATAGTCCCAGCTACTCAGGAGACTGAGGTGGGAGGCTGCTTGAGCCCAGGAGTTTGAGGCTGCAGTGAGCTATGATCACTGCACTCCAGCCCGGGCAAGAGAGGAAGGTCCTGATTCACAAAAAAGGCAAGGCTTCCAAGACCCAGTTTTTTAAACTGGCAAAAGAATTAAGCAGGCCCTTCCCTAAGGAAGATACCCGCATGGCCAAGAGCAAACCAAAGGCACTGGGCATGTCACCAGGGAGGTGGACGTTACTGTAAAACAAAACAAAAAATCACATGCAGTTAGTTGTCTTTTTGTTACTGATTGCCTCAGTTGCACTCTGGCCAAAGAATGTGATTTACATTACTTAACTACAGAGTGTGTATTTATCTATATGTCATCTTCCGCAAACGGTTGACACGGTTGGGGTCCTAGTACACAGTCAACTGTGAAAACATTCCATGTGTGCTTCAGAAAGTTTTCTCCAACGGGCGTGAGTGGGGCAAGTTTTTAACTTTGCTGTCCAGTCTTTCCTAGTCTTCATCAGTTATCTAAGCCTCTATCATAAGAACCTGAAATAAGGAGAGCAAATTGAACACAAAACAGGTAGAAGAAAGGAAATTTATATGAATAAAAGGAGCAACAGTCAGTGAAAAACAACTGGAAAAAAAAAAAAATCAATGAACCCCAAAGTAGGGTTTTTTTTGTGGCAAATGTCTGTAAAAATGATAAATTCTTTAGCTAGTCTCATTGGGGGAAAGAAAACACAAATCACCAACAGCAGGAACGGGGGAACATCCCGGCCGGGCGCGGCGGCTCACGCCGGGAATCCCAGCACCTTGGGAGGCCGAGGCAGGCAGATCACCTGAGGTCAGGAGTTCGAGAGTAGCCTGACCAACATGAAGAAACGCCGTCTCTACTAAAAATACAAAAAAAAAAAAAAAAAAAAAAAAAAAAAAATGAGCCAGGTGTGGTGGCACGTGCCTGTAATCAGAGTGATCGGGCAGCTGAGGCAGAGGTTGCGGTGAGACGAGATCGCAGTTGCACTCCAGCCTGGGCAGGAAGAGTGAAACTCTGTCTCAAAAAAAGAAGATAAAAAGAAAATGAACACCATTGCACAGTATACAGAAGATACGGTGAACAATTGATGTAAATTGTTTTGATAACTTAGATAAAATTCTATGACAAACCTATCATTAAAAAAATGACAAAGGAAGAAACAGAAAATCTACATGTCTCATGTCTATTTTTTTTCTTTTTGAGATGGAGCCTTGTCTGTTGCCCAGGCTGAGTGCAGTGGCGCGATCTTGGCTCACTGCAACCTCCACCTCTCGGGTTCAAGTGATTCTCCTGAGTAGCTGGGATTATAGGCATGCACCATTACACTTGCCTAATTTTTGTATTTTTAATGGAGATAGGGTTTCACCACGTTGGCCAGGCTGGTCTCAAACTCCTGACCTCAGGTGATCCACCCACCTCGGCCTCCCAAAGTGCTCGGATTACAGGTGTGAGCCACCGCACCCGGTCTCATGTCTATTTCTAAAAATCAAGTTCTTTTTTTTTTTTTTGAGACGGAGTTTCGCTCTTGTTACCCAGGCTGGAGTGCAATGGCGCGATCTCGGCTCACTGCAACCTCCGCCTCCTGGGTTCAGGCAATTCTCCTGCCTCAGCCTCCTGAGTAGCTGGGATTACAGGCACGCGCCGCCATGCCCAGCTAATGTTTTGTATTTTTAGTAGAGACGGGGTTTCACCATGTTGACCAGGATGGTCTCAATCTCTCGACCTCGTGATCCACCCGCCTCGGCCTCCCAAAGTGCTGGGATTACAGGCGTGAGCCACCGCGCCCGGCAAAAATCAAGTTCTTAATGAGACACCTAAGCAAAAAGAAAACGGCAGGCAGAGATGGCTGCGCCCATCAAATCTCTGCGGAGCAAACAACGCTGCTCCTCACCAACCGTGACAGGCTTGCTTCAGGCAACTCAAAGCGGCATCGAACCCTGACAGACATTCACATGACAAGACAATGGAGATCAGCGTCGGGGTCCCTCATGAGCGTTCATACACAGGAGGTCCTCAGCCCGGCAAGAGCAAATCTCACCCGGCCACGCGGAGGACAACGCAGCACGGCCACAGGGACCTACCCGGGAACGCCGGGCCCTCTTGGCACACGGAAGTCGGCGTAGTTCACCAGTCATGCGGGGAGCAAGCCACCTCCTAAGCATCTCACCAGGTGCACGAGAGGCAGCCGACCACAGTCAACACCGATTCGGGGAAAGTCCTCAGCAAGTGAGGAGCCTCTCCCACCCGTGAGTGCAGTGAGAACCCAACGCGGAACCGGGAAAACCCCCGTGAGCGCGGCGGAAGTGTGTTCCTTTTCGGTGCTGTACTCCATTGTGCGCCTGTCCCGCGCTCTGTTTTTAATGCCCTTTACTGTGGGTGATATTTGAGTTGCTTCCTTTCTGGGGTTGTAACACCCAGTTGGAAACGGCTGTGGTGAACACGTGTGTGTGTGTGTGAGAGACAGAGAGAGAGAGCGAGCGAGCGAGAGAGCGAGAGAGCCCATTTTCACTGAGACTGGGAATAACATAGGGAAGCGCCAGCTCACCTCATCCGTGCAGTGAGAAGCTAAGGCACAGACTGCAAGGGGAATCAAAGCCACCAGACAGAGGACACATGTGCGCACACGGAAACCCTCAAGTCCACAGAAATACCGCCATGACCAATACAGGACTTTAGGGCACAGGACTAAAGCACCACGCACAAGTGGGAAATGAAACAGAAATACACAGTCCTCAATAGCATATGGAACACCTAGGAATACATCGAATGGAAAGCGGCTAGACGCATGCACAGAGAACTCCAGCCCACTGCTGGGAAGTTAGGCGAGCTAAATGCTGGAGCCACACACAGTCAACACTCGGAAGGCTGGAGGTCATCCAGATGCTGCCTCTTCCCAGCATGTATTTAAGATATTCAAAAAAGGTATTCAAAAATGCGCCCAAGGGACCGGCTACTGAAATCCCAGAAGGCTTCTTTTTCTTGGTAGAAATCAAGAAGCTGATTGTAGGGCCGGGCGCGGTGGCTCAAGCCTGTAATCCCAGCACTTTGGGAGGCCGAGGCGGGTGGATCACGAGGTCAAGAGATCAAGACCATCCCGGTCAACATGGTGAAACCCCGTCTCTACTAAAAAGACAAAAAATTAGCTGGGCATGGTGGCACGTGCCTGTAATCCCAGCTACTCAGGAGGCTGAGGCAGGAGAATTGCCTGAACCCAGGAGGCGGAGGTTGCGGTGAGCCGAGATCGCGCCATTGCACTCCAGCCTGGGTAACAAGAGCGAAACTCCGTCTCAAAAAAAAAAAAAAAAAAAAAAAAAAAAGCTGATTGTAAATGTATACAGAAACACCAAGGACATAAACAGCCATAAGAATCTTAAAAAAAAAAAAAAAAAAAAAAAAAAGCTGGAAAATGCACACTGCCTGGATTCAGGGTTTACCATAAACCCAACCGTAGCCATGATGTGGTGGCCGGGTGTCATGCCTCACACCTACAACCTGGGCCCAGTCCCCCAGGCCTGTCACCCCTGCCCCCAAGACTGTGAAAGCCCCAGGGCTGTGCCCTGCATGTGGGCTCCTGCATGGCGATCCTGACAGACAGTGCTTCTCTGGGCGTCTGAGTGACCACCCCAGCCCTGCCCGAGAGGGACAGTGTGGTGGATGCTATGGGGAGGCCTGGTGAGGCTCCTGTGCTGAAGGGACACAGGGGCACTGTAGGGCTGGCGCACTAGGCCAGGCAGAAGGCCACCCGCCCGGATGGAGTCCATGTAGAAACAGGCACCCACATGCCATAACCCCGGGCCCTCCACCCTAGATGCGCCAACTCCCAGCATGCTGCCTTTAGCCTCGACCTTTCTTGGAAACGCCAGCTGAGCGGATGCTCGCGTTCGGAAGATCTCAACAGTCAAGTCCAGATCCCCCTGCAGCCAAACCCAACACGCCCGGTGGGGCCTCTTCCAGGTTCAGAAGTGGGAGCCACGCTCTGACCGGACCTGGGCAGTGCCCGACCCATCAGCTGTGGTTGGGGGAAGGCCTTGGTGGCTGTCCCTAGCCACATGAGATAAATGTGGGAACCACACTCCGACTGATTTGGGCAACGCCCTGCCCATTAGCTGTGGTCGGGGGGTGTTCGTGGCTGTCCCTACCCCTGTGAGATAAATGTGGGAACCACATTCCGACTGGTCTTGGCCAATGCCCGATCCATCAGCTGTGGTTGGGGGAAGGCGTTCGTGGCTGTCCCTACCCCTGTGAGATAAACATGGGACGGTCAGGGGAAGGCCTTCGTCCCTATCCCTGTGAGATGCAGCATTTACACAGCACACTTAAGAGCACGGAGGTCCTGTGGGTTCACTGAGGTCTCCCAAGTTCCCTGAGCTGCAGAGGTGAGGAGAGGTGAAAGACGTTGCCCCAGGCCAGTCTCTGACCCTCCATGGGACCATGCACTCTTCTCTGCCATCTGCCCCTCAGCCTCAAGCGCTCTTGGCTTTAAATCAGGCTGGGCTGTCTCACGGGAAAAGGCGGTTGGCTGCAAAGACCCATGGGGCGCAGAGGGGAAGCTGGCTGTGGTGTGATCCCCTCACGAGCACTGGCTCCAGCCCGAGCCGCCAGGACACTCAGTGACCAGCCAACGATGGGTGGTTTAAATACTGCACTGTAATTTTTAAGGACTCTGTACATAGAACTTCCAGTGGCAGACGTGTAAGACTTTTTTCTGTAACTGTGTTGTTTTAGCAGAGGACTGGCAGACCCACCACGGGTGGACATCGGGGCGGTGACCGCCACGCTGACGCTGAGCGGAAGCCAAGGCCCCTCGGTCAGAGCTAGGCCAATCTCAGACCCAGATGCGACCACCACCAAGTCCTGTGTTGGGATGGCAGCGGCTGCAGTCACCAGGAAACAAGCCACCCTCGTGGTGGGCTGTCCCCGGGAATGCCACGGCCGGGAGCCCAGGTCCCTCATACCGGCCTCCTCCCTGCCAGGCTGGGCTCCTGACACCTTCACAGTTCGTTGTGCCGAGCTCTGGAGATCCTGCTGGCCAGGTCCTGGAGATGCTTCTTCACCTAGGGATGGAAACGCCTCATGAGCTGGGGACAGCGCGCCTCGAGGCCGGCTCTGTGAGCTCAGTCACGCCAGGAGATGTGTGATCCGAAAGGAAAAGGCACCAGTGCCGGGCATCTGATCTTCCAATGAAACGCCCATCCAGAAAGGCTCACAGATAACTCACAGAAGCAGCCCAGTGCCAACTAGGAAACCCCCACCCAAGAATGCTTAAGAACCACCAGCCAGCAGCAGTTCATGCTGAAGAGCAAAGCCCAGGGTGTCTGTGATCAGCCCGTGATTATTTATTTTTGAGACAGGGTCTCGCTCTGTCACCCAGGCTGGAGTGCAGGGGCATGATGTCGGGTCACTGCAACCTCCACCTCCCAGGCTCAAGTGATCCTCCCACTTCAGCCTCCCATGTAGCTGGGACCACAGGTGCACAGCGCCACGCTTGGCTCAGCCTCCCATGCAGCTGGGACCACAGGGGCACAGCACTACGCCCAGCTAAGTTTTTGAATTTTTGGTAGAGACAGGTTCTACCACGTTGCCTGGGCTGGTCTTGAACTCCTGAGCTCAGATGGTCCACCCGCCTCAGCCTCCCAAAGTGCTGGGATTACAGGTGTGAACCTGTCATGAGCCGAAACGATGACTCAGGGTTCTGGGAAAGGTGCCTTCCTCCTCGGGGCCTGGGAGGGATGGAGAGGGACCTCTAGGCTCCTTGCACCGCAACGGCACAGAGCATCCCCAGACACCATCCCAGGGGCGGTGGGTGCCGTGTCAGCCCAGCCTGGGCCAGGCTCACTGTGGCTCCCCAGATTCTCACAAACCCTGCTCATGGGTGCCTCCTCCCTCTCCACAGGAGCCCGAAGCTCCGGGCGAGTAACTCACCAAGGTCCCTCCTCTCAGCCACCCTCTGACCTCTGCCCCACCGGTGTGGGGTCTTGGAGGCAGTGCCACACAGCTCTGCTAACCAACACTGCGCTCTGCTGTGGTCCAAGTGAAGCCAGGCGCACGCTCACCTCCCATCCTTGCATCTCAGGGGCGCCCTGCAAACCCCTACATGGTGGTGCTCACCCTGGACCTGAGCTCCTGCCCACGGATGGGTGCTGGGCCACAGGCTGCTTTCTGGCACGTTCCCTGGCAGACCCATGCCACCCTCTCCTATCGGAACCTCTGCCTTTAATTTTCAGGCTTTTCCCATCTCTGAACTGGTTACACGCCTGCAGTTCAAAGTTTAAAAGGTCCAGATGGGGCTCCCATGTGCCTTGACCCCCAGCCACCCACTGGCATGAGCTTCCGGGTTCTGGCCTCTGTGGGGAGCTCTGCTCCCCCTCTCCTCACATCTAACCCGGGGCTGTGGGGAAGGGTCTCACCAGTCTCAAGGGCTGGAAAGTACCCTGACTCGTGGCTGGCTGTGGGCATCCAGGTCGCGCCCCATGCTGGTCACAGCAAAGGACGAGGCAGTGGCCTGCCCAGGCCTGCGCTCACACCTGGGGTTGGGGGGCTGCACTCGATGCCCTCGGAGCGCCCCTGCGAGGCTGCAGTAGGCTTCAGCGCCCCACACACCTGCGGCCCCGGGGTTCAACCCGGACAGGGAACCCACGGCGTGGAGCCCACACCCTGCCTAGGGGAAGCCCTGTCTTCTTCCGCGGCCCCGGAACCCGCGCGCACCGTGTAGCCCAGCTCCTTGGCCCGCCCCTCCAGCAGGGCGTGCTTCTCGCGGCTGCGGCTCACACGCTCGCCGTCGCCCACGCTCTCCGCGTGCCTCAGTTTCTCGTGTGCTATCTCCAGCTGCTTCTGGTAGTGGTTGTGCTTCTCGATTTTGGCTTCGAAGTGCTTGAGCTCCTCCTGCGGGAAGAAGGTTCCCACAGGTGAGTCTTCCCTCCCCGTGCTCGCCACGCCATCTTGCGGTCCCAGGTAAACAAGGGATGCCAACGGATCCCAAGGCATGGTGCCGTTCCCAGGGCAGGCCAGGCCTTGCGGTGACATGGACAATGAGGGGGTGACAGCTGGGAGACCATCACCCCAGCAATGGGTCCCAGCCTGCGCCTCCTCGGCAGCCCTAAGCTGACCCACTGCCCGTCTGGGGGCCTCCAGCTCGTTCCTGGCCTGACCCCACGTCCAGGGGCTGTGCCTCCGCTGCACAGGCGGTGGACCCTGTGCATACCTGTGCTTCTGCTGTGGCTGCCGCTGCACCTGCCCTCAGCTTGCCTGGGCAACGCCTTGGCCAGACTGCAGCTCTGCAGGCACCCTGCCCTGCCTTGACCCCCACACCTGACCCAGGGTCCCCAGCTCCACCCTCAGAAGGATCTGGCACTCCATACGCCCCAGGAGCCCCTGCCCCCTGAGGTGGTCTCCTTCCCTCCCTGGGTGCCCGTCTCAGGAAGCCGTGATACCCCCCAAAGGATCGCAGTTGTCCTTGGTCCCCTCCCCCCATGCCGTGGTGGCGTTCCGACCAATCCTTGACCATCCACAGGACCCACACCCAGCCCACGCGGAACCAAGGCCCTCCCTCCAGGCCGCGGCCCCTCCCCGCCCCTGAAACATGAGGTCCCGTGCAGATAAGAAGCAGAACAGGTTCACCGAGCGGTTAAGGAAGAAACTGCAAGGGCATCGTCGCCACAGGAGAAGCCGACAAGAGCGCTGCGTCTCCTTACCCGGAGCGCCTCCAGCTCCTTCTCGGTGAGGTTGGCGGACTGCGCCAGGTCCCACAGGTCAATCACCCTGGGCTCCTCGAACTCTGCAGGGGAGGAGCGAGAGCGGCCTCAGCAGCGCCCGGGTGCACGCCCCAGCCAGCCCCGTGGGAAGTGCGTGGAGCCCGTGAGGGTGTGCAGGCCTGCGCGTGAGGCGGGCGCACGTGCACTGAAGAGTCGTTACGGGGCACACAGGGCGTCTGCTCTGTAGCTCATGTGACCTCGCTGAAATGTGGCTTCCCTGTCCCTCGGACAAGCAACCACTTCTCCTTTGTGTCCAGAAACACCTGTCTGCACCAGAGCCTGAGAAGCGCCACAGCCTGCCTGGCTGCCTCCGAAGCAGGTGGCGGAGGGTGGAAGGCGGCCTGCTGGAGAGGCAGTTCAGGACCTTGGGCGGGGCCACAGGTTCACCCAGGTCCGGAGGGGGGCACAGGCCGTTTTCCTCCAGCTCCTGGGCAGAGCCAGGCAAACTAAGTCAGTCCAGGACCCTGTGCTCACGAGGGGATGCGGTGGGAGACGCCGGGGCTGTCACCCCCTCCATTTAGAAGCGAGTGGCCCAGAGCCGCCTGCCCAGGGAGCCCCGCAAGAGTGGCCCCATTCCTTCCTCTGGTGACCCTTCCTACTCAGAACCAAGGGCTCAGGGCTGGCAGGGCTTGTTGGAAGGCCCAGGCAGACCCGAAAGAGAACTGCAGGAGCCACTGGGCACAGCTGCCTTGGGGACAGCCCGAGGTGGGAGAGGAGTGTGTGGGGCCGAGTCACCCTTATCGCATGGACTGTAGCCAGGCTCACGCGGGTCTCTCGAGCACAGGCACTCGGTGAACTGCACAGCGGCCTCTGGGGTGGTACAGCCCCCCTACCACGGCCAAGGCTGACTGACACCATCACCAGCACCAGACTGGGCTGAGAGAGCCCGGGGTTTGGGGGTGGGTGGTGAGGGGTCCTGCCCAAGAGCACGCAGGTGACACATCTGACTGCTGTGCTGGGTGGCGGCTGCCTCTGGCCAGGCCTTGCAGGCACCATCCTGGAGAGGAGGTGGTGGCTCTGGCTGGCACCAGGGACGCTGACACCAGCCCCGCTGTCTTACCACCACAAGGGCATAAATGCATGTCTCGGTGGCGGCTGCCTCCTCCAGCCTAGAGCAGGGCCTGGTACACGGGCAGTGCTCAGTGCTCACTTGGAGGATGTGGAGCAGAACCGGAAGCTGCGTGAGTGCGGCCGGCAGGCTCCTGGTAAACCCTGCGCAAGGCTCGAGCCTGGGTCCTGGGCAAGAAGCAGTGGCACAGGGCCTGGCCACCAAGAGCCTGCGGTGGAGGCTGACCAAGCTGCTGAGATGGAGCCACGTTGCTCTGTGGCCTGATCGGGCGTCCTGCCCCTGCAGGGCTGAGGGGACTAACGGACAGCGTGGGTGGCATGAGACGGAGACAGAGCTGTGCTCGACAACTGGTCTCTGTTCTCAGCCAACAACAGAATGGCAGGAGCCTCGCTGCTGGGGCTGGAGAGGCTCTGGGAGGGGCTGCTCTCCACCAGTCTCCAGGAACAGGGCCCGGGACAGTGAGTGACCTTCACAGAGCAGCTGCTGGGAGCGAGCCCCGTGACCACTCCTGGGCAGACAGCACACCAAGGGCCCCCGCTGCGTCCACAGGTCCAGGTGCCCGTCGCTCCAAGCACTCGCCAAAACACAACCAGAGACAGCCCCGGCCTCAGGAAGCGACAGTCCCGGCGGGCACTCACCGGCCTTGGTGTCGTAGCCCTGGTGGCTGAGCCTGCGCAGACGGTCCAGGCCCTGGTTGATGCTGAGCAGCCTCTCCTTCAGCTCCATGTGCCTGCTGTGCAGGACGTCGCCCTTGATGTCGCTCAGGTCTGAGGGGCTGATGACGTTCTCGTGGATTTCTGTAAAACCCAAGGCAGGACGCATGAGACTGGGAGCCCTCGCCCTGCCCGCCCAGAGCACCACCTAGAATGCCCACTGCGGGGGAGCGCAAACTCGCTCTCATTTCTCACTGACAACGTGCAGTCCAGCAGCACCACAGAAACGACCATCGCGACCGCTTCCTTTCCATGCTGCAACGCATGCCAAGTGGTGCCTGGCAGTGACGGCCAGGGCATCAGGTCCCCTGGGGGCTGATTCTGGATCCCGGCCCCCGCCCCCTCTGCTGGGTCACCTCCTCCATTTTACTCCAACATTGTAGGGTGGGAAAGTCACTATCTGGGGAGGGTCCAGAGTCCAGAATGAAGGACCCCTCAGCGAAGCTCAGGTCTGCAAAGGTGGCAGTTGTGCCCATGGTGGGGACAGGCACTGGAAAGACTCGGTTTATCCAACCAAATCAAATGCAGGCAGGTGACGCTCAGAACCGGCCCCGCACGTACCGCAGCCTCCCACTCAGAAGTCTGGTGGGAGCCCCGGGAGACGGCGTCTAATGCGTCCTCCCCACCCCAGCCGTGTCCTGGGGGGAGCCGGGGCTGCCCAGAGCGTGTAGGAGGGCCGGGGAGGGAGCACCTTCGGTCCTGCTCAGGGTGTCCAGCAGGACGTTGTACTCGTGAACTTTCTCTTTGTGATGCAGGAACTCCCGCCAGAGCTTGTCCAGTTCTTCGCTGGAGAATTTCCCAGAGGTCTTTGCCTAGGAGGGAACCAAGGCCTAGATGGAACCTGCTGCGGCGGCTCATCAGCCGACTACTCCCCGGGGCCAGGCACGCCCTGGCCCACGTGTGAGTGCCAGGCCCGGTTCTTGCCCTCACAACCCTCCTGGGCTGCTATTAGGCTGGGTAGGGCAGGAAAACAAAAAACAATCCGGGGAAGGGCTGCTGGCAGGCAACTGCCTCTTCTAGGACCAGTCCAGGCTCAACGGGGGATGGCTACGGAGCTGGCTGGGTGGGGAACAGATCCCAAGGAGGGGACAGGGCGGCAGCCCGGTAGCCCCCAGGCTCGCCCGGCTCTCCCTCTTCCTAGGGAGACCGCTTACAGCCCCTCATCGTCATCCCACCTGCCTCCGGTGGTGGGGTGACGTGGATCACACACGGCCAGGGAGGCCTAATAGGACCCGCTTTCCCTCTCTGCCCGCCTGCACCGACTCCATCTTTCCTGGCCAAGGACAGTGAGCTGCGGCTGGGCTGGGATGAGAAGTCCCACTCTTGGCCCTGAATCAATGTGATCCAGACACGCTGTTCTGGAGCAGAAGCTGCTGCAAGTGGGGGAGCTGAAGCAGGTAAACGCCCTGCTGTGGCCCACCAGGTTCCAGCGCCTGGCCCCACACCAGCACCCCACACCCTTCGTGGGCACAGGGTGAAAGCCCAGCCCTACACACCATCCCCTGGCCGAGGGCACCTTACTAATCACAGAGGCAAGTCCACAGCACCACTCACTACCTTGAAAACTAGACACGAGTCGACAGCTCAGCCCATGCTGTGCCATGACCCCGTAACTACACGTGATCCGAGCCGAAGGTCTGACAGCTGCAGGCCAACCAGAACTCCTTACTGAAAGAGCAAGGGATTTTCTGCACAGGAAAGCTGAAGACGTTCACAGAAAGATGGCAGAACGGCTTCCTGAGGAAACCACTGTCTTCCTGAGACTCCCCCAAGCCCTGGCTCCCAGGCAGAGCAGAGACCGCCTCCTCACAGCCCCCCGCCTTAACACTTGACACAACAGCACAGATTCTGCAAGGTATGGAGACAATCGAGAAGTACCTTGTGCCACAACTTTTCCAGCCTGGGGTCATCCAGCCCATCTTCCTGCGTGCCACTGAGAGAGTTGCTGGTCACCTGCCGAGTGTCCTTCTTCCCGTCCAGACCATACTTGGCCAGGATGACTAGGAGAGAGGGGAGGTTCTATTTGATCTGGTTTCCTGCGAAAAACGGTCCACGGCCAGCACATCTGGGCTGCCCCGGTGCTGAGACAGGTGTGCGTCTCCTTTGTCAGAACTTTCCTTTCACCCATTTCCTGGGTGACCACTGGAGATCTGGCAGGAACAAGAACGTAAACAAGCATGGGGACTGCGGTCTCCCAGCGCTTAGGAACAGGTCTGGTGGCTCATGGGACGCCCCTAGGACTTCCCTCTTCCCACCAGGGATGCCCCTGCTGGATTCCTCCGCCAAGCTGTGTCCCTCCGGATGCGGCTGGGGGGCTGGGGCGCTGTGGAAGTGGTTACCCACTGGCCTGTCTTTGCAGAACGGTGGCCCAGATTTTCAAGAACAAAATCTGTGGCCTCACCTGTTGCCATGGGGCAAACTCTAACGACCACAGGGCAGAGGCCACCTGCGGAGCGTGTGGGGTGACGGGCTTTCTGATAGCCACGTCTCATTTTTATCGGGAGGAAAAAGTCTCTAGAGAAACTTCCATGTCAGCAGCTCCTAACAAAGTTACTGGCAGCAGCCAGGACGATAATCGTCTGTGGCATGCGGCGGGGAGGCCTCTAGGATCTGCCCACGTGGTGCTCCCCAGCCCCACTTCCCCAGGGGCCCCGGCATCTGGGGGCTGTCTGTCACCACACGCTGCCACCAACACGGCATGAAAGCAGGCGCTCGACATGGGCCCTGGTGCTGGCAGTGCCCGGCTGTGGACAGGTCTGGTGCTTGGGACAGGAGGGCAGAGCCTGAGGGCCGGCCTCCCCCGCAAGGGAAAGCTGCTCTCCTGAGGCCCAGATCCCACCTCCTAGGCCCTCGCTGTGGCTCTGTGCGACAGGCCCTCCGTGAGGTCCCCTGGGTCTGCAGCCTGTGCAGCCCCACCTGCCTCCTTAGCTGGTGGAATTCTCCCAGGGTCCCCCTCTTGTAGAACTGGGGCCTGCCTCCCCCTCCAGGCTGAGAGGGCCCCTCCCAAGCTCCTAATCCCACCTTCCCCAGACGCTGGGCGTGGAGCCTTCCTTCACCTCACACTGCCCCCCCCCAGACTCCGAGGACCTCTTCACACAGGCGGTGACTCCAGGACCCCAGTGCCTACTCTGGGCCTTCACCCGTGACCCTACTGGACAGAACTACTCCCAGTGGGGCCTCCACATGCTCCGGGCTCAGCAGGCCCCACCCCTGCGCCTCTCCCAAGGGTCCATCCTGGGTCACTGCCAGCCCTGGGGAGTGTCCCTGCCCCAGGGACACCCCAGAAGCCTCAGGCCTCCTTTCTCATTGACGCTGGCCTGGCCTCAGATTCCTCCTGTCTCATTCCATCCAGAAGCCTGGGCCACGGGGGTCTCAGGGCTGGGCAGCGTGGGCTCCTCACACTCCAGCTGGAAGCACTCGTGATCTTCCTAAGTCTGAAAACCAGCCTGTGGTCTTCTTCCTACTGCAGAAAGCTGCCTCTCCTGACAGCCGTCAAGAGCTGCTGGCGCTGGGCACGCGTCCTGCAGATGCACGCTTCAAAACTCAATCCGCTGCTGGGTCGGTCTTCATGGCAAGGAATTTATACCAGAAATAACTAGTTCAGGCCGGGCTGTCTGAACCCAGGAGTTCAAGACCAGCCTGAGCAGCACAGTGAGACCCTGCCTTTAAAAATAAATAAATAAACAAATAGAACTGGCGGTGGGGAGGAGAAAATAACTAAATAAATACATAAAAACACGCGCTGTTTAAAAAGGTGGCCTGGATGCCTTGTGGCCTCAGAACTGGTGCTGCCTGCATATGAAGGCTGTCCTGCCTGGCCCGCGTCCAGCCACTGCTCAGCAGCACTGAGGCCACACCCCTGGGCTGTACACTCCTGAGCCTGAGGGGAGATGGGAGACAGGGAGGGTGGGCCGTGTCCTTGGGCTCTGATACAGATCCCAAAGTGGCTGGTCAGACCCCATCAAAAGCAGAGTGCCGAAGGCTGCAATCAGCAGCAGAGACTATGGAAGGTTCTGGATTTTAGAGGTGCAGGGTTCTGCAAGGAATGGTCAAAGAGCACTGAAGCTGGAGGTGGCCTCAGGAGCGCTGAGCCCTCAGAGCTCTTGCGGAGGACGGACCCCGCCCCACACTCCCTGCCTGGGGAGTGAAGGCGTCCTAGGTGTGCGGTGGGAGTGAGGATGGCAGCAAACCCCAGGGCAGAGCAGAGCAGAGTGCGGCCCATCTCAGGGTGGACCTCAGCATGGGGGATGCCAAGGGCTGGCCCACTAGTGAGCTGCCCAGGCACACCTAGCTACGGCTGGTCCCCCAGGCATGGTATCAACCTTGATAATGCAGGGGACCTTGGGGGTACGGGGGCCACCCCCAGAAGATGATGGGCAGCAGGCCAGGACAGGCCTGTCTCCTGAACGCGGGCAGGGTCTGCCTCTGGACGCCTGCTCCCGAGTCCCACCAAGTCTTCTGCCAGGACACTCAGCAATGGCACAAAACAAGATGGCTCCACTTCGGCCACAGACCTGGGCTGGGTCCGGGCCAGAAGCCGCCTCCTGCAAAGACACTGCCTGGCCTGCAGGAGGGAGCTGGTCCTGAGCCCACTTCTGTGCCCCCCGCAAGCTCCTCCGTCTCCTCCAGGCCCGGAGGGCTACCCTGCTGCACAGCCAGTCCCTTCTTGCTAGGGGGGCACCTCCAGGACAGGCTTTGCCCTGGCTCTTTGGAATAGCCCTCTAGACACGCCGGTGGGGAATTATTTCAGTGTGTCTCCTTTCCCCGCTGCCATGTCTTGGCTTATATCCCACCCAGACTCTTGAATGTGGCCACATAAACTAGCAAAAGAGAAGTCGGCCCTCAGCCTTTAACCTGGGCACAGCCACGTGCCAAGTCTGGTGATGCCTGCGATGCGAGAAGACGGGTTGCTGGGAAGAGAACACCCACGCAGGTGTCAGGAAACCCTGGCTCCGAACTTTGCTGCACTCCTGGGCTGTGCGACTCCCTCTCTGAGCCTGTCAAATGGGACGACCGACAGTTTCGAGGAGTAGGCGTTACAGCATCAGGCCTCACGAAGGGACTCCACAGAGGCAACCTGGGTGCTGCAATGCCTAGGGCCACCAGCGTTGGCCACCAGTCAGAAGCAGGGCTACAGCAGACTCCAGGCATGGCCAGGGCTCTTGGGCCACCCTCGAGACAGCGACAATGTGGTGGCAGCTACCCCACCCCCGGTGCGGAGTGTCCCACTTGGTTCACAGCCACCGTCCTGTGAGACAGGAGGAGGAAACAGAGGTGGGGGGCTGGGGGGACCGCCGGGGCCCAGGTCACACAGGGGGCAGCAGGGGAGGACAGGGGGTTGGGGAAGGAGTGCCTGGGGTCAGGCCCGGGGGGAGCAGTTGGTGGAGGCACAACGGCCCCTGTGGTTGCCGCACGTAGATGACAGCAGGCGGCTTGGCACGTGACTCCCCGGAGCAGCCCCAACCCCAGTCCCACAGGCCGCCCTGGTGCGTGCCCTCATGCCGCCTGTGCCCTGACAACGGGCCAGTGGCGAGGAAGACGGTGGAGGAGAGGGGCCCAAAAGGAACAGTCACAACGCTGTCATTTAAAACCTCCTGGCTTCTGTATGCTGGTACCAAGCAGGTGACTGTCCTGCCTTGTCTTGAATACCCACAGTGACAAGAGGCTCGCTAACTACATCACAGTGGTGTCCATTCTGGCGCTTAGGAAGCTATTCCAACATCCAGAATATGTTCCCAAAACTTCAAGATGCTGGGGTGGGCCTGCTTCCTCCTCGGGGTGACAGAGCCTCCTGCTGCCTGTCCTCTGGCCCCTTCCTGTGCCCAGCACCCCAGTCCTGGCCCTCCCTCCAGTGTGCCAATGGCACTTGTGACAGCAAAGAAGCCAACACCATGGGCAAAGGCGCCCCTGTGCATGGAGGAGAGCCCTCGCAGGCTGCACCCAACAGGCCCCTCGGCCAAGGGCCAAGGAGTCAGAGGCGTGGCCCGCAGCACTGAGGCCACCTCCCTCACGACTGGAAGCCCCCACCCCAAACCCTAAACCTTCTGGGCACTGACAGGATGCTCAGGAAAAGGCTCACTTTGGATATCCAGATGAAGCATAATGCAAATATTCCCAAAGCCAAAACAAAATCCGAAATCCACAACACTGCTGGTCTCAAGCATTTAGGGTAAGAGACGCTCCACCTGCATGAAAAAGCAAAGCGTACCACTGAGGCTGCGTGCGAGTCTCGCCTCCTTCTCCCCGTCTGCGTCCAGGCCCTCGAGCTTCAGCTTCTTCCAGGCCAGTTCGTCCCTCTCCTGCATCTTCAGGTCGGCGTGGAGCTCGGCCAGCCTCACGGCAGGGAGATGGAGCTGCAACGAGAGCGGAGGGGCCTGTGAGCCACCAGCAGAACGGACCAGGACGCAGTGGGAAACTGACCTCAGAGGAGGCTGCGACCAGGAGCTTCCGGGACACCAGGAAAAGGGGGAGTCAGGGTCAGGGTCAGCTGGATTCAAACCCTCTCGGTCAGACAAGAATGCTGCATGGACACCAGTCCCTAGGTCCATCTGTATACACAGTCTGGAAACCCCTAGTCCATCAGGGGGCTCCCCACTGCCAGCAGCTGCCCACTCCTGTCTGGCCATAACAGGATGCCCCGACTTTCCCACCCCAGCACTTGGGGCCAGGCATCAGGCACTTGGGTAAACAGGGCGGGAAGAAGATACCCACTGCATTTCCCTTACACTGTGTAACTATAAAAAAAGCAACTCAACTACGGAGAATAAAAGTTGAAGTTTATAGAAAACTTCCACCTGCCATCTTAAACACTGAAACCCAAATCAAGCGCATCCAGGCCTCCCTGGGGCACCGGCGGCTGTGGAGCGAACAGGACATGTGGAGCGGGGACCCAGGCGCTCGCCCTCCACGTGGGTGTCAACGGCCTGCCTGCTGGACGCCTGCACTTGCACCCGGTCCTGGGCGAAGGGCAGATAAAGGACACAGACACCCAGAAGTTCTTTTTTTTGAAAAACCAGTCATCTCAGATCTGCCACATCTTCATTTCCCAAGGACCCTTGGTCACCGCCACTCAAGGGCACTACGGTCCTGTCCTGCTGGGACGGTGCTTACACAGCCCCAGATCCTTCTGGAGCAGGAATCTGTCACCCTCTCATTTACCTGCTGGAGTAAAGCACCCTGGCAGGGCCCAGAACAAGCCGCTGCGCTGGGGCTGAGGGACTTCCCACCCCACCCGCACCCTCCACAGCGCAGCCCACGCTTCCTTCATCCCACCCTGCCCACCCAGCTCTGAGACCCCGGGTGAGCGAAGGAAGGAGATGAGGTGACCGCTGGCACACCGCTTTTTGGTTTTAGACAGGATTTAGGCCAAGAGTGTCTCATGTTAGAATGACTGGGCCAGAATGCCACATGGCCGAGGCAAGCTGCAGAAGGAAAACCACTGGCCACCGCCACCATCAGGAACGCTGGCCTCTGGTCCGACCCGGCCACTAACAGGCGTGCAATGGGCCACGGCCACCATCAGGAACGCTGGCCTCTGATCCGACCCGGCCACTAACAGGCGTGCGATGGGCCACGGCCACCATCAGGAACGCTGGCCTCTGATCCGACCCGGCTACTAACAGGCGTGCGATGGGCCACGGCCACCATCAGGAACGCTGGCCTCTGGTCCGACCCGGCCACTAACAGGCGTGCAATGGGCCACGGCCACCATCAGGAACGCTGGCCTCTGATCCGACCCGGCCACTAACAGGCGTGCGATGGGCCACGGCCACCATCAGGAACGCTGGCCTCTGATCCGACCCGGCCACTAACAGGCGTGCGATGGGCCACGGCCACCATCAGGAACGCTGGCCTCTGATCCGACCCGGCTACTAATAGGCGTGCGATGGGCCACGGCCACCATCAGGAACGCTGGCCTCTGATCCGACCCGGCCACTAACAGGCGTGCGATGGGCCACGGCCACCATCAGGAATGCTGGCCTCTGGTCTGACCCGGTCTAACAAGTGTGTGACGGGGCAGGCGAGCCCTTCAGGGAAGCAAAGAACTCCTCTGCGCAGGGCAGGTGGCCGAGCTGTGTGAACCAGAACGTGTCATGAGGTGGGACCAGGGTGAGCAGAGAACAGGGTGCCGTCCCTGGCTCACTGAGGAGCTGCAGCCACGTCTGTGTCATGGCAGCGCACGGGAAAGGCTCTGCGGAGTCCTGCAGCAAAGGACCCGTTCCGCGCTGCAGGCTGCAGATGCTCCAGTCTCTGGGATCTCAGGCCGCTCCCTTCCTGGAGCACCTGCCTTCTCATTCCCCTGGGTCTGGTCCTGGAGAGCTGCCCGTGGCTCTGGGCGGGAACTGTAGCTCCTGCACCGCTGAGCTCCAGGTGCCGGTCACTTCATGCCTGTTTTTCATCATGCTTGTTTCAATATGGAGTCTGTTTTCCCTTAGAGGTTTGAAATGTTAACCTTTAATCTATATTTCATCAGCTATTTTTTTTTTTTTTTTTTTGAGACGGAGTTTCGCTCTTGTTACCCAGGCTGGAGTGCAATGGCGCGATCTCGGCTCACCGCAACCTCCGCCTCCTGGGCTCAGGCGATTCTCCTGCCTCAGCCTCCTAAGTAGCTGGGATTACAGGCACGCGCCACCACGCCCAGCTAGTTTTTTTGTATTTTTAGTAGAGACGGGGTTTCACATGTTGACCAGGATGGTCTTGATCTCTCGACCTCGTGATCCACCCGCCTCGGCCTCCCAAAGTGCTGGGATTACAGGCTTGAGCCACCGCGCCCGGCTCATCAGCTATTTTCTAATATAAATACAACACAAGCTAGTACCCAAAGTACGTGTATTATACTTCAAGGGTATGTAAACAGCGAGCATCCCCAGGAAGTGCCCAGTAGATAGCCAGCTGCTTTCTAGTGTCCTGCAGCCCACGCTCCCTTGCAGCTGAGACCTCAGGAGCCGGCCCTCAGGTCCCTACTTCGCAGTGGCACGTACTTCTGTCAAGACTCACCCAAAGCCAATCCTGTCTGGAGCACCCCACACTCCAGAACCTCCTGGCCTCAGTCTGCCCATATCTAGATTGAGCCCCTCTGCTCCCTGCAGCTCAGTCTGTGCTGGGCCTGGGAGGAAGGAGACCCCTGGCCACAGGCCCCGTCTCCAGCTCCGCGCTGGGCTATCAGCTCCAGCCTCTGCCGCCTCAGGAGCCCAGCCTGACTCTGTGGCTGCCCTAGACACACAGGCGCCATCATCCAGGAGCTTAAAATTTAGTTGGGGACAAATTCAGACCACTGAGGCAAGTCCCCCAATAGTAAAAAGAAGGTAAATGGTAGGCACAAATGAATGGCAGGGCCCAGGGCAGAGGAATGCCTCTGATTCTCTAGAAGGTTCTCCAATCCTTGGTCGGCGGTCCTGGGGGCAGTCTTCCGTTCAGGGTCCTCCTGGTAGACGCTCTGTGCCTCCACCTGAAAACCCTTTCCCTGGCGCCTCCGACACACCCCTCACCCAGCCGGCTCCATCCACTGGCCCCCTCTCCTGAGAGCGCTTCCCTGTGGCCCTCTGTGCCCTGGACACTTGTCTGTGGTGGTCACTGAGAGGCCCTAGGAGGACCGAGATCTGATCTGCACGTTGCCAGCAGGAGGACCCAGAACAGGGCACCTGAGTGATGCTGAGCTCTCAGGAGGAGCAGTCTGTGCCCGGGAGCCCACACCTGCTTATCTTGTTTGTGACCAAAACTCTTAGAGATGCTTCCATCTCTACTTCCCCGTGACTGCTGCTACCCGGCAGGCGTCTCACCTACTGTGCTGCACTGCCCGGGAGGGCCCGAGACATGAGGCCCACAGTGACGCTCTGAGCCAGAAGCAGCACCCTGGGGCAGGCAATACTGGCCCACACTCTGGAGTGTGGGCTTGCACTGAGGGCCCCGGGTCTGCCCTCCTGGGCTGCAGGGGAGAGGACACAGGTGTCCTGTGACTGCCGTGGCTGCTCGCTGGAAAGCAAAGCGGAAGACCCTGGGCTGCTGGAACCCTGGGCCCATCCTAGCAGGCTCCATGCCCTGTAACCTGTGGCCCTCACTCACTGGCTTCCTCCTGTCTGCTTCCCCAGGGCACTGGCAGAATCAAGGGTCAAGGGGAGATGCTCGGTGGGCTGTAAAATCTACAATCCACAGGGGAAAGTCATTTTCTCCCTCTGATTCCCCCTCTCAGGCGCCAGAGGGTTTAAATTGCACGCTGCGTCTCACAAAAACCAGCCCCCGTTCCTCGATACGAGGCTGCTGTGCTCGGCGCGGAAGGGGCCCGCCTGGCTGCATGGTCACGGACAGCAGCCCTGGCTCCACGCAGGGGAAGACCAGTGGGCCACGTGCAGGGCCCTGGACCCTACTTCTGGATTCTTTCACCTCCGTCAAGTTAAATGTTAACGCATCAAGTTAGAACTGCGCTGTGGAAACCAAATGCAGAAAAGAACCCGTCAAACGTGAAGCAGTGGGGCAAATCATCACCAGCCAGGGGTCACACGCAGGGAGGAAAGCCGGCTCAGCCCCACGGACGACGTGGGGCCTGGAGCTTCACACCTGCCTGTGTCCTCAGACACCAGCGGAGCTGGTGACCAGACCCGGGGCCCAGCACTGCTTGGGACCTCAGCAGCGGTCCTTCCCCACACAGGAGCACCTGCATGCCAGCAGAGTGCTCTGGAACTTTCCAACAACCTGCTGCTGCTTCTCAACGCTCTGGGAACCCTGGCCTGGGTCCACAGCTAAGTCAGGGATGTCAACCCGCACACAGAGCACAGTTCAGGCTACGCAGGTTTCAACACCGCCAGGATAGCCGATGGGCGGCTGCCTCTTCAGAGGGCACGTGGCGTCCTGCTAGTGCTCACCCATGTGCCCGCACCAGACCACGAGGCACCGACCCTGAGGAGCAGGCTGTGGCGGTGACCCCGGCCCCTGGCACGCTGCGCCTGTCTCATCACGGTGGGTGCACTTTCCCTTCCAGCCCAGCCACTGCGCCCAGCTCCTTCCACCTGAGCTCCTGGACAAGGGCACAACCTTGCTGAGCTGCTGTGAGGTGGCAGGTTGGCCTGGTGGGTCCTAGGTGCCTGTGGAGGCTGCCCTGGCCTGTCCTCAGAGGCCCTTCTCAAGCAGGGGAGGCGGCCTGAGAGATGGGGTGGGGCTCTGAGGGCCCCGCTCTGCAGACCTGTCTCCATTAGCCAGTCCAGGTCTGACGCCTGCACCCCTGGCTGGGGGCTAGAACACCCTCCCAGCGTGGCCGCTCTCTAAGCTTCCGTTATCTGGAAGGAAAACCAAGACAAATGGGCTCCGTGGGCCTGCCTGCCAGAGTACCAGGCTCTCCGGAAGGGGCGAAGACAAAGACACAGAAAATTCCCAAACACCCTCATCACAAAGAACTTCACATTGTGGTCAGCAGAAAAGACTTGCCCCCAGCGAGCAGCTCAGGACTTAGGGGGACCAGAAAGACCATCTAGCCCAAGGCTTAGTCCAAAGCTGAGGTGGGTAGCTCGCCCTAGCACGGTGTCCAGTGGACCTCAGGGGAGGTTCAGGAAACATGACGCGACCCTGGACTGAAGCCGGTCAGGTAAGCACCCAGTACCCAGGACTGTGCAGGGGCAGCCTGAGGGCAGGCATATCGCCACAGGGGTCCTGGGCTGACACAGGCAGAGGACCAGCTGGAGGTGGCTGCAGGTAAGGCTGGGTGCAGCAGGCCGGCCGGCAGGGCAGGTGGAGGACCGGGGCCAGGACCCAAAAGCAAAGGGAGCCGCTGGGGTTCCTGGGCCCGAGTGTGCTTCCTCAGCACCACCTCCAATCGTCAGGGAGTCTCTTCCTGGCTCCCCATTCCTCATCCTGTGGAGGAACTCTACCCACTCAACAGATGCCCAGCGCAGCGGGCACAGGGAGGCAGTCACCACATCCAAACCCAGCAGTGTCCCTACCCCCTTCAGAGTCCCTTCCTCCGGGAAGCTACCCTGCTGCTCCAGCCGAGTGTTCGCCCACCTCTGTAGGCTGAAGGTCACGCTGGGGCTTGACTGTAGGACCCCAGAGCAGCTCAGGAAGGGCCTGCGGAGCTGACGCCAGGCGTCAATCCCCAGCCCCTCCCCAGACCCACGCAGTCTTACAACCCCCCCCCCCCAACCTGTTTCTCCTCTGCCTTTTTGTTCCAAAGTTCCTTCTTATTCCGCAAATCATTTACTCTCCGTTTCAAAAGACTCAGGAATGCTTAAACCTGGAATACTAAGACACAGATCTAATCTGACTTCTGCATTTCAAGCTTAAACCTGGAATACTAAGACACAGATCTAATCGGACTTCTGCATTTTAGATGAGATACTGACTGACGCCCAAAGGGTGGGCACAGTTTGTAAAAACCCATCTCAGGAACGCAAACCACACCTAACGAGTGAAGTAACGGTATCTCAAAGAAGAGAGCAGCTGGCTCAGGGTCACGCACCAATGAGGAAGCTGTAGTCCCGGGGCACCACTGGCTGAGCGACCTTGCGGGTGCCCTTTCCCCTCGGGGCCAGCTAAGCGCGCTGCTAAGACGGACTTTAAGCATTCCCAAGGTCGCGTTTTATGTGCTCTAAATCGATGCTCTCTCCCCATTTCTCCCTCAAATGAACAAGAACGGGCCTGCTCCTGGGTTTCCTGCTGTCCCTGGACACGTCTTTCCACCCAACATCGTGTTTTTGTTTCCCCACATAAGGAGATGAGGTGAAGAAAGAGGCAAAGGCCTGGGAGGCAAGAGACCTGTGATCTAGCCTGGGTCTGCCCCTACGTTCGGGTCAGCAGGCCGGCCAGGCTGGGGAACGCCACACTGACTCTCGCGGTGCCGGCCGCCACGGCTCCACAAGGCGTGGTCGCCGGCACGGGTCCCTGTCCTGCTGCAGGAGGGGTCGCGGCGCCCCACCTGGCACTTGAAGGAGGCTCTGCCAAGAACAGGGTGCGTGGGGCGCAGGTGCCCCGGCTGCGCCCCGCCCGCCTGTGACCCCCGGGACCCGCTCCACCGGGCCCAACAACCAGGGCCCCCGCCCCCGGGCCCCTCTCCACAGCCCCCCGAGCCCCGCCCTGCCGCCCCGGGGCCGCGCTCACCCGCCGGGCCTTCTCCCACAGCTGGTTCAGCTTCTCCATGCGGAACTCCTCCTGGGACTCGCGCTTCGGAGGCGGCTGGGGCTGGTTCTTCTCCCGCGAGTACTTGCCGCCGTGGCTCGCCGCGGGCCGGAGCCCGAGCAGGAACAGCAGCAGCAGCAGCGCCGCGAGCCCGCGGGGAAACGATCCGACTCTCCGCGACGCCATCTTCCTCTGCGGCTGGCGCTCCGCTCAGAGACCCATGCAGGCAAAGGCCCCGCCCACCTCCCCGCCCCGTTCGCCGCGCGGCCTCCCGGGAATTGTAGTTCTCCCGTGAGCGGCCGGCCGCGGTGAGGCCGCCAGCGGACTCCAGCGCCCAGGAATCCCTGCGCAGGCGCGTGCGTTTCCCGGGCAACCACGGCGCGGCCCGAGGCTGCAGAGTCGGGCTGGGGATACACTGGAGAATGTGGGTGACCAGGCGGGAGCAAGTACCAGGCCTCGCTCAGAGCCCGGAGCCCGGAGCCCGGAACCCGCACGACTCTAGGCCTGTTGCCCCCTCTGCCCCGCAGAAAGAGCGGAAAGCCCAGGAACCACGCCGCGTCTGGCTGAGCCTGATCACGCTCGGGCTTCGCGCGCGCTGACGCCGGGCCTTGCGCGCTCCTGGCCGTCGCGGGGTTAGGACGGCGGCCCCGGCCTGACGCCGAGGAGCGCCCGGTCGCGGGTGGGCGCAGGCCGGGTGGTCCCAGGGACATCCGCGTCCCGGAGCCCCTTGCCTCGCGCGCGTGCGACGCGCCACCTCTCGCGCCTGCTACACTGCCGGAGTTCGCGCGCTGTCCCCCAGCCCGCGACACCCTGGGAAACCCCAGAGCCAAAGTCAGCCTAGTCCGCTCGTTGGGGGCTTGGCCAGTGAGTTGGGCAGTGCCCTGGAGGTAGCGCGGGAATCAAGGGAAAGGAGGGAGACAGACGGCAGCTGGGCCGCTTCGGGCTCAGAAAAGGGACAAGGGGGCTCTTCTGGCAAGAACGATCTGAAAAGGCCTCCGAGGACGGGCGGGATTTTGCCTGGAGAGGGAGAACTTTCCAAATGGAGGAGCGATGACGAAGTGGGCGAAGAGAGCCTGGGCATCTTGGGAGAAATTAATGTTGATTCATTGCCTTCGAGGGAGTGGGAACAGGGTCTCTGTCATCTAGGCTGGAGTGCAGTGGCACGATCATGGTTCGATGCAGCCTCGACCTCCCGGGCTAAAGCGATCCTCCCGCCTCAGCCTCCTGCGTAGGGACTACAGGTTACAGCCACCACGCCCAGCTAATTCTTTAAATTTTTCGTAGAAATTAGGTCTCCCTGTGTTGCCCAGTCTGTTCTCGAACTCCTGGGCTCAAGCAACCCTCCTGTCTTGGCCCCCCAAAATGCTGGGATTACAGTTGCAGGCCACTGGGCCTACCCTAATTTACTTTTAAATTGTATCTTACGTTGTTCCAGAGAAGATTTCAGGGGCCTGGAATCAAGGTGATCTGCTGCTGTCCTTTGCTGCTTTTCTAGGATTTTCAGAGCCATCTTTTCATTTATTTTTTCCAGCTGTTGCTTCAGGCAAGAGGGCAAATTCAGCCTGTTACTGCATCTTAGCTGGAAGCACACGTTCCCCAAATGGGATGTATGGGGGAGAGGAGGTAAAGGAACCCCCAGGAGGGTGGCAGAGGGAGAATGACCTCGCAACGTGACTCCAGAGACAGAGCAAATGCAGTCGTGGCTCTCATCCCTTGTTTTCACACCTCAGGACCGACTGCCCAGGTGAACCTGGCCTAGACGCTCACCTGTGACTGTCTTCCCCGTGCGTTCTCTGGCTCCTGCTCTTCTCTCCATCTCCTGGGGCCTAAAGTCAGAGGGTACCCGTTCTACCCCACATACATGTTTTGCTCCGACCCCACTCCTGAGAGCTACAGGTGGGTCTTGGTGGGCTTAGAAGGAGACAGTCCAAACCGGCCCATCCCCCTGTAAGCATGTTCCTGTTGGTCATCTGGAATGAACGTGGTCCTCACTGCAAATGTTCTGGCTCTGTGAAGCCTGCCCCCAGTGTCTCCAGAAAGGGCCATTATAAACCCACAGGAAACGGAAGCCGGACTGGGAGGAGGAGAGTCTTCTGGGATCCTGCATCTTACAGTGGTGTGGGGTCCTAGGAGCCTTTTTCTTACACAGCCCAGTTTCCCAGATAACTAAACAGTATTGTACGCGAGGCTCGTACACAGGCCATGAAACTAAAGAAAGGCAGGGGCCGGGCGAAGGCGGAGACGTCTGGGCTGGGGGAGGAGGAAGGATGCAAGGGTTTCTAGAGTGCTGTCCAGGCGGTTTTCCTCACTAGGTGGTGGGCACACAGGCCTGCATTTTTCCTCATCTTTGCATTGTCCATGTTTCATACACTCCCGTGCGGGCATTATACATTTCAGACTCGTCTCTTTGAAAATATCACAGTGGTTAATGTAGGCAGTGCAGGTGCCAGGCGCGCGGCAGGGACTCCAGCTGAGGAGTGCTCTTGGGCTCCTCTAGGGCTGAATGTTCATTATTCACCCCTGCACCCAGCACCCCCCATGCCAGCCCATGTCTGTAAGTGGTGAGGGGAAGGTGTGTGAACAGAGACAGACGTGGTCCTAGAGGAGCTCAGAGGCAGGACCCTCAGCCTTGGTGGGGATGGATTGTGAGGCTGGCCGGCGCTGAAGCGGAGCGTCTTGCTTACTGCAGCGAAGGGAGCTGTGCTATAGGACCATCTCTCAGAGCAAAACAAATCAAGTCTCTTGGGAAGCCTGGCACCGAGGACCGGCCAGCTTTCAGAAGCAGGAGTGTTTAGCCTGACTTCAGGCGTGGGAGCACCTTGCTGCCTGGGCCTGACTGTAGTGGGGGGCCGTCCCTGACTGGCTGGCCTTCAGAAGCATGCAGCCTTGTCGTTGACTGTTTGGGGCTTTCATGCCACTACAGCCAAAGAGCAGTTTGTTTCTGACCTTGAGTGTGGACTGAATAAACTTGTTCTTTGCAGGCAAAGGCAGGAAGCACAGGAACAGGTAGTGCCAGGTGGCTGCAGGCAGGTGGTCTGGCTGGAGCTCGGTGCAGAAACGAGGCGGTGGTGGGGAGGGGGCAGCCCCACGGGACCGCAGCGCCACTGGAAAGACGATTCCACCCGGAGCGGTGGGGACCACAGAGTGGTCCTGAGGTGAGATTTACACAGAGGCGTTTGAGGAAAAGCACAGACACCAGTGGGAATGCTGGTGCTCTCTGCCGGAGGAGAGGTGACCTGGACGAGATAGAGACACCGAGGCGGTGAAGATGGAGAGGCCATGTGAAGGTGGAAGGGACAGAATTTGGAGACCAGAGTCCAGACTGATGCCCAGGTTTCCACTCGGGGAGACCAGAAGGTGGGCAGGGCCAATTCCACTGCCAGGTCTCCAGGGAGAGCACGTTCGGGAGAGAGATGAGAGTCCAGGTCCCTGTGGGATGGATGTGGAGCCTTCCTGGGGCATTAACTCCATAGACGTGGCAATCAGAGGCAGAGGGGTCCAGGGGAGAGGAGACAGAGGTCTGGGGGCCTCCATGAGGGCACGTGAGAAGGGGATGGAGCGCTCTGGAGGCAGCTAGCATGAGGGTGCGAGAGGAAACTTGCAGAGGAAGCAGGCAGCGGCCAGGGCGAGGGAAGACACCAGCGAGGTGCTGGCCTGCAGACTCCAGGGTCCAGGAGGCTTGGAGGAGTGCTGGGAGCGGGGTGTGGGGCCTTCGCAGACTGAAGGACTGGAGGCTGGTGTGGATGCCTGTGGCCTCTGCCCTTGCAGCAACCTCTGTCTTGGGTCAGGTTTCCTGGAAGCAGAGCCAAGATGGAATTCCTGTGGAAGTGATTGTAGGGCAATTACTCCTAGGAAAGGAGAGTGGGGGTAGAGAGCAGGGGCGGAGAGCTGAGCCAGGCTGTGACTGCGTCCGCCTGGTTGGGCGAGGGGAGCTCAGGAGCATCGTACCTCACGGTTGTCTCTGCCTTGAGGCCAGGACCATTTTGTGTCTCCTCTCGATGCTGGCGGCAATCAGGCACTGGGTTGTGGCGGAGGGCGTGACCTCCTGGGTGGGGAAGGTCGCACTTGGCCTAGGGCGATGAGCCTCCGCAAGCCACCATCGCCTGGAGACAAGTGGGAAGCTTGCTACCTGAAGACTTCTTCTGCACTTTGGTCTCCACAATCCTTTATCTTAACCCAAACATTTTCTTTCTATTGATCCCAGGTTTTTATTTTTATTTATTTATTTATTTATTAACATGGGGTCTCACCCTGTTGGTCAGGCTGGTCTTGAACTTCGGACCTCAGGTGATCCGCCTGCCTTGGCCTCCAAAGTGCTTGGATTACAGCCACCGCACCTGGCTGATTGCAGGTTTTTAAATCAACTCTACTCAGAAAATATTTAAATCTACCTACAGCCTAGAAACCGCCCCCACCCATCCCCCGGCTTTCTAGCTGTCCTGCTTTTCGGAGGCAATGTATTTCTTAAATGTGTGAGAGTGACGGCTCATGTCTCCCTAAAATGTGTAAAACGAAGCTGCTCCCTGACCACCTTGCACGCACGTTCTCAGGACCTCCCGAGGGCTGCGTCCGGCCATGCCACTCATGTTTGCTTCCGAACAAATCTCTTCAAATACTTTGCAGAGTTTGACTCTTTTCTGTGGGCTCTCTGAGCATCCACTTGCCTTTGCTGTGACTGGAAATGCCCCCCACAGTCCCTGAAGGACTGCAGCACTCTCTCCAGCACTCCTGTTCTTGGTGATTTCTATTTCCATCTCCAGGTGGGTGAGCCCCCCAAAACCCTGGCCTGCTCTCCTTTGATGGTCTTGACCTCAAACCTACCCCACTCCTCCTCTCCCATGGCCACACCCAAGATGTTGTAGCCCATAACCGTAAAGTCTTCTCCCTCTGTGAGCACAGGTCCAGGTGGCCACTCAGCAGCTGTGACCTCCTGGACAGAGCAGGAGTATCACCATCTTGGACAAGCACTGTCATTTTAAGTTCACCTTGATCAAAACCCGCCTAAATCCAAAGGGCATCAGCCTAATGGCTAAGGTCAGCATGACCATAAACCACAAATAACATCTCGGACCAGAAACACTCCAACCCCCTCCCCAACCAGGGGCCTGCCAGCCCTGAGATAACTTCCCCTCCGCTGGAGAGATGCAGCCCCAAGGCTGCTTTTCGTGTTTCTTTCCTCTTTCTTTAACTCTTACACTCCTGACTGATTCCAGCTGACTTCTCCAGTCTCACGTAAACTTTCTTTCAATGGCTGGGCTTACAGTCCACTGATCCCTCCCCGTTTTCACTGATGTCACTGTTCTGTCCTCTCCGCTCCCTCTTCTCTCCCAGCTAGTATGCTGGCACCCAACATTCTCAGCAGCATATGCCAGTTCCCCCAGGTCTTCTCGTCATCAGACCCGTGTCCCCAGGCCCTGTTTCCCCGACAGGATGTGAACCACAGATCCAGCATTTCCTGCCATCTGCATCTGGTGCTTCTGTCCACGCCTTCTTGTCCCTGGAAAGCATGTTCTCTCAGAGCAGAGACTGTGATTCCTGCATCTCATCTCCTGTTGCCCAGCACAGACTTGGTGCTCAATGAAGATTTGTCCATCTGGATGAAGAATGGATGGGTGGCTGGATGGGAAGGCAGATGGTTGATGGGTACGTGGATGGGCGGATGGGTGGGGGCGGATAGATGGATGGGTAGGTATACATGGATGGAGACGGATGATGAATGGTGGGTGGATAGATGGATAGGGATGGATAGGTAATGAATGAATTGGTAGGATGGGTGGGTGGATGGGGTGGGTGGATGGGTGGATGGTTGGGTGCGTGGGTGGGTGGATGAATGGGGATAGATGGATGATGAATGGATGGGTGGGTGGGTAGATGGATGGGAAGGGATTCATGATGAATGGAGAGGTGGATGGGTAGGTGGGTGAATGGATGGGGATGGATGGGTAACGCAATAATTGGTAGGTGAATAGATGGATGGGGTGGATGGATGGATGAGTGGTGGGTGGATGGGTAATGAATGGATTGATGGGTGGATACATGGATGGACAGGGATGAATGGATAATGAATGGTAGGTGGATGGATGGGTGAGTAGGTGGATAGATAATGACTGGTGGATGGATGGATGAATGGATGGATGGATGAATAGGTGATGGATGAATGGATGGATGGATGTATAGGTGGATGGATGAATGGGTGGATGAGTGGGTAGGTGGGAGAATGGATGCTAATGGACAGATGATGAATGAATGGATGGATGGATAAATGAATGGAGGGATACATGATGAATGTCTCCCTTGTTCCCAGCCTGGTCCTACAATATGTTGCCTCTTCTTAAAATAAGGCACCGCAAAGCCCCTGATGACAGTCAGGCAAAGGAATAGGTGGTGAGTGTCTCACGCCCACTTCGGATCCAGAGCAGGCCTGGGAGGGACTCCGGTGGGACCTGCTGCTGTGGAAGCGGGCTGGGGCAGAGGGTGGAGGAGGAGGTCAGCTCTAAACCACCTCCTAAGGCTCTAGGGCTCTCGGGCTAGACAGCCCTACCCCTGTTTCTGCAGATGCCAGCATCGTGGTCCTGAGGGAATGGTGGCTGGCCCGGCGCCTTTCCCCTGTAGTGTGTGTTTATAGCGGGGCCATGAGGGGGGTGTGTCGGGATGTACTGACCACTCCCTTCTACCGTCAGAGATCTTGCTTCCCCCTGCCCCCTGCTCCTCCGCAGTGTCCTTCATGAGCCCCCACCCACTCCCCACTTCCCTTCTGTGGTTGCAGATCCAGGAAGCACCTACCTGGGTACAGAGATCATCGCTCAGCGCCTCACCCTACACAAGGGTGATTAACTTGTCTGTTAAGAACTCCTACTTAGAAATTCCGACATGAAACTCCCACCAGGCTCAAACTTGGCGCAGAACAGCAATTACTGAAAACACATTTTGGAAAAGGTTGACGTTTTATAAGAGTTCGTCCTCCGCTCCTCAGCCTCCCTCAAGGACACACATATTTAGGTCTTCTCTGTGCGAGTCTAACTTGGAGACTGTGAGTTGCAGTTGAAAAGGGACCCTGGGGCCCGGTGTGGTGGTGCACGCTTGTGGTCCCAGCTACTCAGGAGGCCGAGGTGTGAGGAACGCTTGAGCCCAGGCGTTCAAGACCAGCCTGAGCAACACAGGGAGGTGGCATCTCTATCAAAAATATTTAAAAATAAGGCTGGCAGGGTGGCGTATGCCTGTGGTTCCAGCTACTTGGGAGGCTGAGGCAGGAGAATCATTTGAGCCTGGGAGATTGAGGCTGCAGCAAGGTACGGTTTCACCGCCACGCTCTGGCCTGGGAGACAGAGCAATACCCTGTCTCTAAAAATAAGAAAGAAAAAATCAGGGCTCTGAGCCCAGTCCCCTGTCAGGGCCTGGTGCAGTGGAAGAAGCTCAGGTCCCTGGCAGGTCTCCTGAAATGTCGCCAGGTCCGGCGGGGGCTCCCACCTGCATGCTCAGTTGCTCTGCTAAGCAGCCACATCCTCAGGTGTTCCTCTCAGTGAGCCACCGAAGCCGGGGAAGAGCGCCTTTCTCACTTAGGACACGAGTGGCCAGGTGCGTGCCTCCGGCCCCTTTCCTGATGACGACAGTGCCATTGCAGGGCTCCAGGAAGGTCACATTGTTTCCCGACTTCGCTGGCATCTGTGGGTGGGAGCAGTTCAACAGGGGCCTCCCATCACGGGGAAGAGGTCCCAGGGCTGCAGGGCGGAGTGTGGCCTGTGTCTGCGCCCTGCAGGGAGCGTCCTGTCCATCACGGGGAGCGGTCCCAGGGCTGCTGGGCGGAGTGTGGCCTGTGTCTGCGCCCTGCAGGGAGCGTCCTGTGAGGAGGGGCTGCCCTGCCACTTTCCTGATGAGGAAATCAGGATTCAGAGAGATGAGTTCATTTGTTCGGGGGCTGACGGCTCCCTCAGCCCATTCCTAAGGTGGTTTCTGTGGTATTTGCCATAAAGCCATAGGTTCGTTGATGTGCTGTTAAGTAGATCTGAGCTCGAACTGCATATCCGGCAGGGACAAGCAGCAAAGTCCCTGCCCTTGGCGCGTGCAGGGGAAATGAAATGATTCTGCTCAGCCTCCTCTGTGGGTCTGAAAAATCACAGCGTCTCAGGACCCCAGTGACGCGGCTTCCCCTGAATGCGGGTCCTAGACCAGGCAGAGGCAACAAATATTTGTCAATTGAATTTGTATTTCCATACAAATTTGAGGCTGGATGAGGTGACTCATGCCTATAATCCAAGCACCTTGAGAGGCTGAGGTGGGCAGATGGCTTGAACCCAGGACTTTGAGGCCAGCCTGGGCAACATAGAGAGACCCTGTCTCAATATAAGAACAACAACAACAACAAAATACAAATAAGTAAAACACACACACACACACACACACACACACACATTTTAGAGTAAGTATTTTAAGTTCCACATAAACCTGGTTAGGATTTGGTTAGCAATTTCTTTGGTTCTACAAATCAATATGGAAAAAATTAATTAATTCCCAAGTTAATTATTTGGGAAGAGTCCCTTTTGAGACTTCTAATCCATGAACATGGTATCTCCTGTGGGGAACGCTCCCGTGTGAAGCCCCTCGTAAACTGGGCTACACGATACAGTGGGCTTGAGCCCCGACATGGAGTCTCCCGTTGAGGGGAGTCGAGCTATGGGAAAGCAGGAACAGAAGGAGGATCCGAGCTGACCATCGCCAGATGGTCATGCGGTCATAAGACGCATTGTGCCTTTTAACTTAGTTCCTTCTCAGTAAACGTGATTACTTTTACTAATCTCCTAAGAAAGTAATGACTAACTTCTTGTTAAGATACGGAGTCACCTGCTTAGTTTGATTGTCTAGTTGACCTTTTCATTGTATAAAATAATGAGACCCACCTACTCGGTTCCACTGTATATCTGATCTTTCCATTGTGCCCCTTTGATGATGTTGTAACTTATTTTTCTACTTTAAGACTTTCTGTTCCCCTTATCTCACGAAACTATGCATTTAGCTGATGTAAGCAAGTAACCAAAAAAAGTGTATATAAGTCGACCCTGAGCACAATAAACTCGCTGGTGAAGCATAGTCTTCTCAGTACGCCAGACCCCGTCTTTCTATCATTCTTTGTCTTCCCCGCACACCCCTATCCAGGTTGGAACCCTCTTGCTGGACAAGAGTTCCTGGCAGACGTGCCCCCGAAAATCTCCATTTATTTAGACCATCTTCAGTGCCTACCAATAACATTTCTGTGTGGTGATCTTGTACACTATTCTCAGTTCTGGATATTTTATGCTCTTATAACCTTTCTATAAATTTTACTTTTCCAACCGTGTTGCTAATATATAGCAGTAAAGTGGGATCTTGCCTATGCATTTTGAACCTAACAACTTTGCTGAACTCCTCTGAGTCCTCAGAATTTCCCTGCGGATTATTTAGACTCTTCTGCATACACAGCCATATCATCTGGGAATAAAGGCAGTTTTATTTTCTTCATAAACTTGACCCAACTCACTAAGCACTCTGCCACATCCAGGCTGATACTGAACAGCAGTGGCACTAACAGGTGCCTTTGCCCCTTGCCAATCTCTGAAGAAAGCTTTCAACATTTTCCTATTAGCTCTGTTGGCCGCTCTGACTTTTTTGGTAGGTGGCCTTCATCAGCTTCACAACGGGCCTTTTCTTCCCAGCGGGCTGAGCTTTTCCTTAAGAGCAGAAAGTGGGCGTTACCGACCACGTGACCCCTTCTGTGGAGGTGGTCACACGACTCACGTTTTTTCCTGTGTTCGTATGTGAACTTTTCTCTGGGCGCCTGAGCGTTCTTGTGGCTTTGGCAAAACAACACAATTTACTCTCGGGTGCGGGGCGGGGAGGGAGGCAGAGGCAGAAAGACCGCAGCTCCCCCTCCTCCCGCCGGCCTTCCTGCTGGCCTCGTCCCTGGTGTGTGCCTTCTTAGACGCTGCGTCTGACTGCTTGCGGACGTGATGATGGCCAAGCTGTTTGGTGGGGCTGGTGCTGGCTGCTGGGATGTCCAGAGCCGGCCAGGGCTGCTTCACACCCCCCTGCCACCCGGAGCCCGTGCTCCCAACCACTTCCTTCATTTTCTCTCCTGCCAGCCGGTATGTCCCTGCCCGATGTCAACCTGGGCCGGGAACTGGACGACAAGAAACAGCCCAGAGCCCACCAGAATCAGACAAATCAGCCCGACCCAAACCGTCTCCCCTGCTCTGCCCAGCTTTCCCAGGGAAACCGGCGGAGGCTGTGGCCTGGGCCTTCCCCTCACTCTTTTCTGCCTCCTGGTCCGTCTGGGGCTTCCCCCTGCCGTCCGGCCACATCTCTCATTTCTAGCGAATGTTTCAAGAGTGTTGTTAGACTTCCCTTTCAATAGCATGGACCCCTCTCGGGCACCTTTGTGGATTAAGACCTGGGCATAGACGGTTTCTTTGGCATCACAGCCTGAGGGTGCTGGGGAGATGGTGGGGCTGCGAACTCACCTGCAGTGCCCTGTGCTGCCTGGGTGTGGTGGACGCGAAGCAAGGTCTGAAACACACGGAGCCCAGGCGCCCGGGAGACCCTCCGATGGTGCTCCGGTGCGTGCCATTGTGAGCAGAGCATGTGGCTCTCATCGGCCTTGCTGGAGCAGAAATGACCTGTTGATAATGCATCGTGTATGGTCATAAATGTGCACCCGCATCGCTGCCTCCTTTCTGGATAAAGTGTCTTGCTCTGTTGCCCACGCTGCAGTGCAGTAGGGCAGTCACAGCTCACTGCAGCCTCCACCTGCCAGGCTCAAGCCATCCTCCCACCTCAGCCTCCTGAGTAGCTGGGATGACAAACCCAGCTAATTTTTTTTTGAAGAGACAGGATCTCACCATGTTGGCCAGGCTGGTCTTGAACTCCTGGGCTCAAGGGATCCGCCCACCTTGGCCTCCCAAAGTGACAGGTGTGCGCCACCGTGCCCGGCCTGTTACCTTTTTCTTTTTTTTTTTTTTTTTTTTTTTTTTTTTTTTGAGACGGAGTTTCGCTCTTGTTAGCCAGGCTGGAGTGCAATGGCGTGATCTCGGCTCACAACAACCTCCGCCTCCTGGGTTCAGGCAATTCTCCTGCCTCAGCCTCCTGAGTAGCTGGGATTACAGGCACGTGCCACCATGCCCAGCTAATTTTTTTGTATTTTTAGTAGAGACGGGGTTTCACCATGTTGACTAGGATGGTCTCGATCTCTCAACCTCGTGATCCACCCGCCTCAGCCTCCCAAAGTGCTGGGATTACAGGCTTGAGCCACCGCGCCCGGCTCCTGTTACCTTTTTCAAGTAGGAATCTTGTAATAGACCTGGTCAGAACTCGCGTTGTTTGACCTGTGCAGACTTTTTGCCGTGCTGCAGAGCTGTGGGCACGTGTGTTAAGTCACATGCTCTGTGCGTTCTGATCATAAAGGAGAGAAAGGACAAACTTCAATCGGCCGTGCTGGGGGAAGAACGAATATGTTTCTGTTCCTTCTACAGCAGGTGATGTAAAGTTCTCACGCCATGAGACGGCTGAAAAGCAAGCAGCCAGAGCAGGCAGGAGGAGGCATTGTGGAGATGGGCCAGGCCCCTCAGAAAAACAGAATGCTGCTTTTCTGGATTTTGTATGTTTGCAGCTTTTTTTCCCCTCATCCTAAAAAATATTCACTCTCATACCTAATATTGTTGTTATAAAGTTTGTATTCTTTTCTTTATAGGGAGGCCCCACAAAACCCGGATGGAACTCGCCCACTGCCCTGTGTCTGTCCCCCCAACCCTCCGTGCTCCCCACCGGGGACGTGGGTGGCAGTGGTGCTGTGTAGAGGGTGGTGGGAGGACCCAGGAGCCAGTGACCCGTGAGCCGGGAGGTCTTGGGATCGCCTGTCGCTGAATCCTCCTGGGATAAGGACTTGTGCACTGCCGGTGTGACGGAGGCTCCTACAATCCCGCCTCAAGTGACTCCCAGTACCTGCTCAGCATAGCCCTGGCATGCGGGGGCCCTCTACTCTCGAGAAACCCCCACCCCGCCACCATGAGGCGTGTGGCCCGTGCTCCCATTCCATCA